AGTGAACATTCGCCAATTCTCCAAGCTTCATATCCATGACCGCGCACCGCGCAAAATCTGGATGCGCAAAATGCACTAGACATCTGCTCGTGCGCGTCGTGAAATCCAGCACGGACTGGTCAGACGAGAGTGTTGGGTAAACTTCGTTTTGGATGAGGCCTGTGGTGCCGCTTGTTGCGCGTGCGGAGTGGTTGTTTTTTGTGGCTGCCAGCTCGGCATTGAGTTGGTGGATGCGTTGGTCACGGTAGAGGGTGTCGTCTTCGTTTTCGAGGGCGGCGAAGAGGGCTTCGTCGTCTGAGTCGGGCATTTTGGGGATGTGCGGGGGGTGGATTTGATGGTTTGATGTTTTGGGATTTTGTGTTTTTGGTAGGTTTGGGTTATTGGTCTGGCTGGTTTTGCTTTTGAGTACAATGTCCCAATGTAAAGGTGTAGATTGGTATTTTCGGGGGAGTGTGTGGTTAGGAGGGTTGATGTTGGAAGATCGGGAGCTCCACTGGTATTGGGCTCGGTACGGGGTAGTCTATGCGTGAACGGCTTTGTATTTTTTGTTTTTGGTCTTCTCGCAGTTTGCAATTGGAAGGATGTCTGTATTTCTTTTATTTCTTGTTCCTTTGGTTAGTGGAGCAATTTTGGCATATTCTTTAGCCTTGTAGAACTGATGATCTACGCTATGCCCATAGCCATACTACATATAGAAGTACAAACGCATTGCTACCAACTATGTATATTGTATATCGTCGATCAGCCTCAATTGAGTTTTTTTTTATTCAAGCCTTATCCAACAGTAATTGACTGATATATGTTGTACAATAGTACGGAGTAGATGTTTCACTCTATAAATAAAATCCTGAGTCAGCACCCCTTAATGCCCTGCTTAGGTAACATTCATGTCTGCTTCCGGCCGCGAAATCTGTTGTTGTCAGATCTCCTCTGGCCTTTTTTCTTTGGTCAACTTCTCGAACACCTTTTGTTCCTCGACTCCCCTAGATATATTCTAGGTGCTATTCTGTCATTTCAGTTCTTCACCCTTCAAACAAACAGCCGATAAACCCCTCCCCCCTATCTGCGACTCACTCAACATGGCCGAAGACAAGAAATCCGACGACTACACCGTCGACATGAACAAGGTCGACTCAGGAAACAAGGAGTTCGAGGCTGCGCCGCTACCATCTCCCTCGCCCCGCGCTGCTCCCGCCATGCCCAGCCACCCCGCGTTACCCGTTCTGGCATACTGTGGTTCGTCAATTATGATGACTGTGATGAACAAATATGTTCTGTCGGGCTTGGACTTCAACTTGAACTTCCTCTTGTTGTGTGTTCAGGTATGTGGTGGCTTTTTTCAGTCCTTATCCGAAACGAATTGCTAATGTCAATAGTCTCTGGTCTGCATTGTTGTAATTCAAACATGCAAATCCATGGGTCTTATCACCTACCGTGATTTCAACTCCGATGAGGCCAAAAAGTGTACGGTCTCCGATTACTATAAGATGAGATATGTGACAGCTGACAAGATTCCATATTAGGGTTCCCGATTACGCTACTCCTGATCGGCATGATCTACACTGGTTCCAAGGCCCTTCAGTTCCTCTCAATCCCCGTCTACACTATCTTCAAGAACTTGACCATTATCCTGATCGCCTATGGAGAGGTTCTCTGGTTCGGTGGCTCAGTCACCAACCTAACTCTGTTCTCCTTCGGTCTGATGGTTTTCAGCTCGCTCATTGCCGCCTGGGCTGATATCAAGCATGCTGTGGAGAGCACCGGTGACACCTCCAGCAAGGTCTCCACTCTGAACGCTGGATACGTCTGGATGTTGATCAACTGCCTGTGCACCTCGTCTTATGTCCTGGGCATGCGCAAGCGCATCAAGCTGACCAACTTCAAGGATTTCGACAGTATGTGGTTTTTTCAGTCTTGTTTCAAATGTTTGCTAACATGACCTTCTCTCCAGCCATGTTCTACAACAACCTCCTGTCGATCCCCGTCCTGATTGTTTTCACCCTTCTAGTCGAGGACTGGTCATCCGCTAACCTCGCGCGCAACTTCCCCGCGGCCAATCGTGACGGGATCTTCTTCGCCATGGTTCTGTCCGGTGCCTCCTCTGTCTTCATCTCATACACCTCCGCATGGTGTGTCCGCACTACCTCCTCCACCACATACTCCATGGTTGGCGCGCTCAACAAGCTGCCTATCGCCGTGTCGGGTCTCATCTTCTTCGATGCGCCAGTCACCTTCCCCAGTGTTTCCGCCATCGGTGTCGGCTTTGTCAGTGGTATTGTGTACGCCGTGGCCAAGATCAAGCAAAACGCTAAGCCCAGAACCGGTGTTCTCCCCGCACCAGTTAGTGCCAGCAGCCAGAGCATGAGAGACTCGCTGCGCTCTTAGTGCTTGAGATGGCAATATGCGCCTGACTGGTCAGTGCATATAGGAAAAGTCAACTGCGTCCACGGTGCTCCTTTGCATGTGACATTATGATTCACGTTTCATTGCAGCCGAATTCAAGGGTCTTGTCTGGTCTAGTGGGAAAATCCTGCGATCACTTTGGTCGGTGTTGGTGTTCGATTGCTTTTTCGCCCTTGTTTTCTGTTATTCTTCCACCCCTTCGGAATACACTTAAGGGAAACTGTTACCTTTTTACGGTTTCTCCTGGCCACCCCTGCTTTTGGTCTACGGTATGATTTAGTAATTCTCCCTTTGTTTTGACATGCGGCCATAGCATTTGCCTGTCTTCAATGTATATAGCTATGCCGCGATCTGTTTTTTTTTTAATAGAACGTGTCTTTTGATAACTAATATGACTTATTCTGCTCATATCACAAAGTATTCAGCAGGCAGGCAGAGTCTGTTACGGCGAACTGGCATTTAGAGACTGCCGTACGATTGGGACTACTACTTAGGCCTAAAAAGAGAGGAGGGAGAGAGTTATATTGCAAGAGGAGACGAAACTCCGAACTATCTACCTATCTGAGGGTCGATGCAGAAATAAAAGGTTCTAGTATAATATTATCGAGAAAAATAAGCATTTACACTTGTATCTTTTATATGGTCTGCCTGGTAAAAGGTACACTGACGTTTGGGTGGCGAACCCTCCGTAAGGAGGGTCTGTAATTTTTGTGAAAAAAAAAAAAAAAGCAATGGCCGATTACAACTCAGATGGGTTTTAAAGAAGAAATTTTACAAACTAAAGGTTCAGAAGGAAGAAGAAATTGAAAAAAAGGGTCGAGAAAATTGAACTGAAGTCGAGAACGTCGTATACTTCGGTTCTTTGATTATCCGGGCTGATATTCTTTTGCATCATCTTCCGGCCGCAGACATGGGCCGTAGCTCCAATCCCTTTCATACAGCTTTCTTTTTAAAAGAGAACTCACTTCTCTTCACGCTCAGTCATGCCTCGCAATAATAAGAAAGTCAAAAATGCCCCTCCGCCGCGCGCTCGCGGACCAGGCAAACCATCTGGCTCATCTTCCAACCCTGCCAAGGGACAGCAGCATGGCAATGGGCAAAAGCAGGGTAGTGGCAACGGCAATGCACCTAAGAAAATATCTTTGCAAGCAAATCAAAGACCTATCGTGCCTTTCTTGAGGAAGGATCGAATTCTCTTGGTTGGTGAAGGTGAGCTTTTCTTCTGTTTTAGTTGACATCATTACTCGACGTTCTTCACTTTATGCAAGAATTGCGTTGGAATCAATTTATATGCATATATTTTTTTCGTGGTATCCATACGCAAAGCTATGTTTTCACTTCAATATACAAGATTGAAACCAATATGCATTCCTGTGTAAAAACAAGAATCAAAACACTTCAACGAATTACCTACTATACCCGGAAAGCAAAAGTTCTAACATCTACCAGGTGACTTCTCATTCGCCCGCTCGCTGGTAAAACAATACAAGTGCCGCAAACTATGCGCCACATGCTACGACTCCAAGGAGACACTGTATAACAAGTACCCGCAAGCTCCTCAGAATGTCTCAGATATCATTGGCGCATCAGCAAAGCCAGAACCAGCAAGCGAGGAGAGCGAGAAGCAGGGCGAAGAGAGCAAATCCGGAGATCAGCACTCAAGCAATGACGCTGAAAAGCAGCCAGAAGAGAGCAAATCCGAAGACCAGGCGTCCACCAACCCCAACCCCAATCCCAACCAGCAAACCCCCAAAGTCGTCTTCTCCGTCGACGCACGCAAACTCGGCACTCCAGCTGGCGGCGGCAAGGAAATCCGCACAGGTTTCACACGCCGCGAGCGCAAGAGACCGGCCTGGTACCAGCAGGACGAGCCAGTAGGACCACCGTACCAGCCTGGCGGGCCATGGGATGTGATCTGCTTCAATTTCCCGCACGTTGGCGGGCTGTCTACGGACGTGAACCGGCAGGTTCGTTCGAATCAGGAGCTGCTGGTTGCATTCTTCAAGGCCTGTATACCGCTTGTTTCCAAGCCGCCGCCGCTTATGGATGCTGATGATGATGAGTGGGTGTATGCGGATGGGGGGAGAGTGAAGAGGAGGATGATGAGGAGGAGGAGGAGGAGGAGGAGGAGGAAATAGCAGAGGGTCAGGAGCTAGGGAAGGATGATGATACTACCGGGAAGGGGTTCCGGACTGGACCTGGGCAGATTCTTGTGACTCTGTTTGAGGGGGAGCCGTATACGCTTTGGAATATCAAGGATTTGGCGAGACATGCGGGGCTGGTTGTTGTGACTAGTTTCCGGTTTCCTTGGACTTCTTATGATGGGTATTCGCATGCGAGAACGGCGGGACATATTGAAGGAAAGGATGGGGAGCGTGGAGGATGGAGGGGAGAGGATCGGGAGGCTCGGATGTATGTCTTTGAAGTGAAGCGGAAGGAGCAAACCAAGAAGGGAGGGAAGAAGAGGGCTAGAGATGATGATTCTAGTGATGATAGCGAGTAAAGGTGGGATGATAATTATCATGTTTAATAAAACTGTACAAATTGTACAAATTGAGTTATAGCTCATTTCATCGTTGGTAAATGCCTACCCGAGTTCACATAATGTACACTTTCTTCATCTCGTCCTCGTGGAAAACCTCTCCCGTTGTTGGGTCTTTGACGTTTCCTGATTCCACTGATCCCATCTTCTGGCTGATTTCCATCAGCCTTTGCTTCCCGTAGACTCGGCCGTTGGGTAAAACTATTGGGTCGCTTTCCACATAACTCTTTGAGTGGTGAGCATATGGCATTTTGCGTGCAAGCTCATTCAGTTCGGTTGAGCAGATAGGACACACAGATGTCGACGTTGACTGTGAATTTGAGCTGGAAGATGTGTATGCCGAATGGCACAGAGGTGTTTTAAGAGCTGAAAGGCCTGCGGAAAGTGCAATATGTAATAATGGCTGTGATGGCAATGAAAGCAGCTCGTGGTGAGTCTGAATGAAAAGTTTGGAGAGGTAGTTCCACCGGTCAAGCGCAAAGAGAGTCTGTACTGTATCAGTAAAAGCACTACTGATCAAGTGCGAATGTTTGTCTTACTTTGTAGGGCTCGGCTCTTGTGTCTTGCGTGAAAACCAGTAACCCCGCAGCGCGCATAATCTCCGAATTCTGAGATTGATGGTTCGGTATGAGGTATTTCTTTGCGTGAATTATCGCCTCAATCTTCTTAGACTTGTCTTGTGTCCTAACCATCTCGATATATTGCTGCAACCGGAGTTCAAATTCGAGATTGTGCTTTATAGGCGGTGGGTTAGCCGAAGTTCAAAACAGCGGAAGTCATTCCAACTTACCTGACTCTTCTTCAGCGCCGCCTTATTCTCTCCGCACCACTGCAATGCCTCCTTCGTTTCCCCGCGCCGCAAGCTCTCCACAACCCGTTGGCACTGCGTGAATACACCCAGATCGACAAGATCCTCCACGCCCCTATCCTGTGCCAGCTGTTTTCCACTCTCCGAGTAACCCGAGCGCAACATGTGATCAACAAGCAAACGATCCAGCCGTACCCTTGACCACTGGTCATACTTGACATCGGCTAGGCTCGGGATCTTGTGCAAGGTCTCCAAATGCTGAATACGCTTGTGGGACTGGTTGTGGATTTTCTTCTCCTCCTCCTGCAGGCTTTCCATTTTCCTTTTGAGACCTTGCATTCTGGATATCATTGCGTCGAGTGCAGCGAGAGTCTGTTCGGGCGTTTGGGTGTTGGATGCGGCGGCGGTCTCTTTGAGTGCAGGGATGACATATTCCTTCTCTCGCTCGACAGCTCGTTGTACGGTTTTAAAGTTCTTGCGGGCCAGTTCATGTGGCAGTCGAAGGAGTGGTTGGTCCTGCGTAAGTACCTTTGTTAGGGTCACGCTTTAACATGGTGCGGAGTAATGATTACCAGTATGATGTGACTCTCTGGGTTGAGCTTGGTGGAGGTCAGTTCTGCTGCCATTATGATAGTTCGCAGATCTCTTTTGATCTTGGATCCCGAGTCCGAAGGATAATAGTCGAGGATCACAGTCTAGACATGAAGTTGAGGGGAAGGAAATGCGGAGAGAACGGTCACGAGATCCACATCGAGGACAAGCCATTGACCGCCTCCATTTGCGGTTATACCACACCACACATTCAAGTTATACTTCCTTAGTGAAGATCCTAATATCTAGAGTGGTATACATTAATTAATACCCTGGATCTCTGTATTAAGCTGACACAAAGTGACTAGATTAATAATAAAACAGCAATCGGGTAGTTTTGTGTCTAGAAAGGCCGACCGATGCTTTTGTAGATCATTATCCGACCTAGTATTATACACTCGAATTTTAAGATGTTCTCCCGGTGTGGTTTGTTCCGTATACAACTTCCCTTATTTAATCCCTCGATAGTAAGGCTTTTCCGTACCCAAAGTAGTACTCTGTGTAGATCATAAGGAAGTTATATAGTGTAGAAGCGCAAATACAAAAAGGATGGTGTCTAAAGAGCTGCCCGTGGACTCATATACAACGTATAATTCGATCCTCTTTCAAATTTAGGGGTATTTAATATTTGCCTTATAGATTCTAGATTAACTAGTTCTCGCACCTTTATTACCTAATCCTAAACTAGAAGATGTCTATCTTGGTTTTTTATTCCCTGCTCCCTGATTATACTAAGTTGCGCAACCGATTCACCACTAGATCTCCGAGGTCGACTCCTCGGGCTAATAAGCTTCATTCTAAGCTTATTCGCGACTCTAAAGGTCTATGTAATCAGTCTTTTAAGATACAAAAGTATTTATAGCGAAGTATAGATACTAATCCAATATTAGTATCGGTTGAAATGCTTGGCAGGTATTAGGCCCTGATCCAAGGATAAGGTAAGCCGACTAGGGAGGGCCAAAGTCGGGCCAAACTGCATAGGTACTCAAGGTCACACGTGAGCACCTGGCGCTTATAAATGCTTTCATGGTCTTGATCGATAACGGTAGGCAGCACCAAACGGGGGCCAACTTCTTCCACACGACAATCAACGACAGACTAGATAGTCCAAAAGAATGGACATTTAGAGACAATCTCTCATTTACACAAGACTTGCTTCCTGGCCTGGAGTTTGATTGCCTTCAAACAGTCGACTTGGGGATGTTTCCACGATTGTCAAAGTCTTTTGTTTTGGTAAAGTTGCTGGCTTATCAGATACCAATAGGTAAGGGCCTGTTTAGTCAGTGAGCCCCGGAGCCAAGTCAGTCACCTCCTAGGGCATCTATTAGAATTGCTATTCTGCAGTTATATTGGTCTGACGAGTATGGACTCCACAGCCACTTCACGAGTCATGAGTATACATTGTTCTTCATGTCTAAGCATTCGGCCGCTTACAACGTTGTGTACACAAACTTAGTAAGACAATAATGTGCACATCTGAGATTATAGCCTGTTGTTTATCCAGGCTCCTTCTATATGAGGGAACGTAACTATTCAACTCCGAAAAACACCATAACAATGCACAAATCAAGGCACACCGGTTCTTCACATGGAGATGCTTATTTCTCCCAACCCTCCCATCTAGCAAAGTCACCTGTGTCCAAATCAAACAAATCCAGCATCCGCCCGACACTCTGATCAACCAGATCATCAACCGAAGCAGCGCGGATGTAATACGCCGGCACAGGGGGGAAGATTACAGCACCAGCGCGTGAGACCTCAAGCATATTTCTCAAATGAATATCACTCAACGGAGTCTCTCTTGCAACAAGAACCAATTTTCTCCGCTCTTTAAGCATAACGTCGGCAGTCCGTGATATCAAATCATCACAGAAACCACTGTGGATAGCGGCGAGAGTCTTCATACTGCACGGCACGACGATCATACCATCAGCCTTGAACGAGCCACTCGATATAGGCGCAGCCATGTCGTTGATGCTATGAACATGGTCGGCGAGCGCCTTGACGTTGGATGGGTGGTAATCCGTTTCATATTTGATTGTGGCCTCGGCCCACTTGCTCATGACCAGGTGGGTTTCGATATTGAGGCGACGAAGAGCGACGAGGGCTTTGATGCCGAGGATTGCGCCTGTGGCACCTGTCATGGCTACGACGATGCGTCTGCGTCGTGTGGGCTGGGGGACATGGTTGTGTTGGGTTTCCATTTTCATTGGGGTTGCTTCGGACGGGCTGCCACTGGGTGAGGCGCGAATAGACGAAGGTGTGTGAGTCTCGGAAAGAAGGGGAAGCATTCGGGTGGAAGTTGAAGATGTAGAGTTGGCTCAAGTTGTGGTTGTAGTTGTGGTTGTATGGTGTGTGAAGATGAAGTCTAATGCGAATGTCATTTCAGATCAGTACCTACGACCATTTATACCAAAACAGTGACAAGAACTTTTTTTGGTTATCCACAATATTAAGAAAATAATAAGCCGACTTCCGACGGGCTTGTAGCAGCTGTGAAACGGCCCGATTTCAGTATACAGATGATCCACTCCGAGGCTCCGAGTATCCGAACTTCCAAGGTTGCCGAGTCGAAGCACTTAGTGCTACTTGAGATTCGAACTGCATAATCTGTAATGAAAGCAGTCTCTGCAAGGGTTCTCTTTGGATTTGCTGTTTAACATCATTTTATTATAATTTGCTTGTACTGTGTAGTCTACAGGTGCTTTTTTCTGCACCGTACATGTTTGCTATGCTTCTCCTAACTATAACGAGGACTAAACATTAGTTCTTTTATCTCCCTTTATATTTAGAATCAGATATATATATATATATATATATCTTAGGTCTCTCGGGCACCTCAAAAAATGTTTGTTATTTTGCTTCCATGGGTGTATCAAAGCAGCAGAGTAACCCATGGATATCAATATTATGTTGTAGTGATGATTGGGTCGTTGCATAACGCATTGGTGTCATAGGAAGCCGTTTTCTTGAGCAAAGTCGAACATCGGAACTGCACGGACAACGTCAGCTGATATTCACAATAAAACCCATCATAGGAGATTACCATTCATGATCGAATCAAGATAAGATACAGGCGAGTTGTCAATCGGGTTTGCAACATCGAAAAACGCATCAGGCATACTAGAGACGTCAGTGGGAGCCATTATGCAAGGCATTGGTACTCACCCGGATCCGAAGAAACCAGGATTGAAACCAGGTCCTGCCCATGTCTCGTTCTCACGAGCACTGTTATCTTGCTGCCGGTCTAAAGCACCACGAAGAGTAACCAAAGCACGAATATGTCTCGCAGACAACCAATGAATATCATTCTCTGCACCTCCTTCCTCGATTGTTCGGGAGTCCGATGAAGTGAACACATCAATGACGCGCTGCTGTAGGTCCCGACATTCAGGGTCATTTCGAGTTTCTTCCCACATATAGAGAAGCAGAGTTGAGCTTAAAACAGTATGCACCATGGACCAGCTACGCAGTGGTATCACACTCAGCGCCTGGAAATCGAGAAATGCCCGGGAAGCTTCAATCAGGCTTCCCTTTGCCCGGTTTCGTAGAATCTCGGTCTGAGGGAGCTGTGGTTGCGGCTGAGACTGTTTCATTGCCGGGCGGCATACCACGGACACACAGAAAGACGAATGCATTCTAAGTGCTAGGTGCTCCAGGTGCTCCTGCAAAGTTGTGCAATTGCTTCGTATCTGGAGATGGGGTTTTCCGCCTTGGTATAGTGTATCCAAGCGGTGTAGCGCTTTGACTGCTCGGTCAAACTCACTGGCACCGGAAGATTCTGGCCGCATGATATCTATACCGAGGCGACAGAGGGAATGCATGATCTGAAGATATGACAGGTTGTCTTTCTGTAAGGTACTAGGGTCAGCCGACCACCCAGTTACCGTGACGATTGGCGGGCGATCGTAGCTCATCGATAACAAGCTATCTTGCCAGACTATAGTGGACCTGATTGACTTTAGTAATATGCGAGCACCACAACAAAGCCATTGCTCACCAAAGTGTTTTTGCTTTGGCTCGCACATATTCCGGACAATGAACATTGCTTCGCTCTGTGTGTAATCCCATCGTCTGAGCAAGCCGAACGGTCGTTCCTAGCAGCGCCCAAGCCGCGTCTGATTGACCCATGTTCTGTAGGGTGTTGCCGATGATGAGAAGTGCTTGTATGGTGTCGAGGGACGGTCGGAAGAGGAAGTTGGCTAGACGGAGGGCATGGAATGATCGGCGGACTGTGACTGTCAACAGGCAGTATGAGAAGTAATAAAGACGTGGACCTACCGAAATCAGTTGCCAACTCCAATCGTTGGGGGTACCCAATATCTGAATAATGAGCACCAGCAGCCAGGGCAGCTAGTAGGAGACTGATGTGACCAATTGACTTGTCTGTCACCCAGCGATCAGAGATTTTGTCATGCTCACGCAGTTCCCCCGCGGAGTATGCGTTTAGATACGTGCAGAGATCCAACTCGAAGCGATCCATATCAGCGATAATCGGATTGAATGGGTGTGCTGTGATTCGGTAGTAGTGGAAGAATCTCACAACATCAGCAGGTATTTTCTGTCAGGCCAGTGGGGACATACTTCAAGACTTCACTTCTCTGGGGTAGAACACTGAGTAGGAGGCTCCACCGTTCCTGTGGGGTCTTCAGGTCCATGAACGGGTAACTATTGAAAGTATTTTGAAGACCCAGGACCGATCCCAGATCAGTCATAGATTCATTCCCATTCGATGCCCTTGAACGCAATATCGAGACGACCGAGTTATCCCCGGAGTAGACATAATTCTTCACCGCATCATCTAGTCGAAGAGAGGTAGAAACCGGCGGGCTAACAACAGCATCGGCTTGTCTTCTTGACTGTGGGCGTGCTGGACTTGGCGATGCAGACTGGGCACTAGCAGCTTGGGAGGGCTCCCTCCTCGAATCTCGGATGGGATCATAAGTGCAAATATGCGGGTGATTCCTCTTCTGGCAAGTGTGACAGGGTTGAGTTCCATCACATTTGACTTTTCTTTTCCGGCATGGATAGCATGCTCTTACTTCCCGTTCTTTGCGCTTAAGACGGAGTACTCGGTCGGCTTCGCCGTGGCTTGGCGTGTTCATATTCCCGAGGAAGCCGAGAGGCCGACTTCCGAAATTGAGAATTTTTCAGAGCTTAGAGATCAGTTTGGTCAGATGAATCTTTTAGCCATTGACACAAATGCCACAAACATGTCTGAAGTGGAAGTTGGCGGATATGACTTTTTGCCGGATGGCCGATATGTTACACGTGCACGGGCCATGAGTTCGATGTTGGAGATGTATAGATCTCGGCTTCAGATCCGGGCTCCGACACTGCTGGACATACAATAGCATAGGTGTTATGAGGTTAAAGGGGCTATAGATATAGTTCAATCAAATTTTGATATTGAAGCGTTGTCAAAGAATAGAATTGTCCTGAGCGTACACTTTATACGCAAAAATCCGAAAACAGTTCACAGTTGACGAATATCAAAGAATTAGATTGTATATTCTTCCATCTCCTGGGCTGATTGTCATATTTTGTAGCTATAACTACAGTCTACCGAGGCTAATACTGCGATTTATTTCTTATTTGTTTTGGCTTTGGCCTTGGTCTTGGTTTTTGAGCATCTCTTGCAAGATTGCATATCCCAAGTCGTTTTCAAGTCCGTCCATGTCTCACCGCAATACTTCTTTTTTTTGGTGTGAGAATAATCCCACTTTGTTGTTTTCACCTTACTCTTGACACAGCCGCAGTAGAATAGGGTCCGGCTCTGGTACTCCCGACACATCGCTCGATACTAGATTAGACTGAATATACCATTGTGTCATGCGTAACCGCACTTACTATTGTGCCTGATCGAGGTATTTGTCGGATAACGGTAGATGTAGGGTTGAGAGACCTTGTGCATGTGGATAAAACAGTTGAAAGCAACGATGGTTAACTGTAATGTGAGTGAGACCGGCGATTGACCCGATGGGGCATCAATAAGGCCTTAATAATAGCGGAATGAAGTCATGGATGAGATTGAAGTTCCACTGAAATGTGATCTGGAAACCTTGAAGACAACGAAACCAGGGAATCGGATGGTAGGAAGTAGATGGATTGAATAAATAAGGACTGTCTTCGATCCATTTAGCCTTGTTATTATCAGCTATCTGCGAGTGGTGGTAGAATTTGTTCGATCTTTGTCTGTACATGTAGTTATTGGCCGAGAAAAAAGTTCATGGATACTTTGTATCAACCTCGTATTGAACTGTTTGGACAGCTTTACTTATTATGGACTCGACATGACATTTAGAGATATTCAGCATCGGGTGTTTCTTGAAAGTGCTCAGCTGACCTGTATATGCTTGCCTTGCTGCCCTGGCCTTCTCGCCTCACCATAAATGATTGGATGAGAAGACAACGCCGATGTTGAGTGTCCCGAATACGTGGCTGAAACAAAGAGATACGAAATTAAATGAAGTGACTGACCTTTTAAACAGCTTCTTTGGAAATGTGCGATGTTTCTGACTGCTGGTTGTCAACCTCTATCCAAAAGAATATAACCCGCGCCTTGTTCAACAGACCTTTGGGGCCCATTTGTCTCACACCCGTGCAAAGTACGCCTATCCAAAAGGTTTGCCAGTGAGACACACGATGTCCCAGCAAGAATCTTCCTGTAGACTGTGTATCTACTGTCGTGCTGTTGAGCGTACGTGTGAGACCTGTCCCTTCCTCCAAAGAAGGCAACAGGCACCCTCTGGTGGCAGCGACGACTTGTTAGCCAGGCTAGCTTCAGGGCTCTCACCTGAAGATGCTCAGCAGATTAAAGCACTCCAGGGGCTTCCTAGTTCGCTTTGCGACCGGTGTTCCACCTACAACTTTCTCAACATATTGGTGTCCTTTCATCCTTTGGACCCAAGCCAACTCCGTCTTAACGATACAAGGCAACAGGTGTGGCAGGGCGGGAATATTCAATATTATGAGGAATTATCGGACGCTAGAATTTCCCTTGGTCGGCCGTCCTCGCTTATTCTGACACCATCCTGCCAGTTCTGTCGCATGCTTTACTGCATTGTGCCAACGAGGTTTGAACCAGGGCGTCATGACGGCGGAGATGCAGACGAACCAAATGTTTACCTTGAGCCGTATCGGACTTATTTGCGATCAGCTGGTTGGGAGGTCATCCCGGAGGAGTCAAGAAGTCATTATGCGGTTGCATTAGGGCTCACAACAAGTGTTTTCAGTACTACATTTATTGGGGATTTAAATTTTTTCGCCTCTAATTCTTCAGGATTGCGACCAGAGATGATGACTGGACCATCCATCGCGTTGGAATCTCGCTTCAAGGAACCGGGTGAAAACATAGCCAATTTTAAACCGCTAGAAAGCACCTTGGATCTGTCAATACTTCGACAAGGCCTTGACTATTGCTTGCAAAATCATGGCAGTACCTGTCACGTTGAGAAGCCGCAGGAACTTCTCACAACTGAAATGATCGATGTTATTGATCGTGTCGTGATCCCTTGTCCACAGGACTGCGATTATGTTGCCTTGAGCTATGTATGGGGGGGGAAAACAGCCTTCTCCTGGGGCACTCCACAGCAGGTGCCTTCCACAGACTATTGAAGATGCCATTACTGTGACGCGAGCTCTGGGCCGACGTTACCTATGGGTGTGCTCCCTTGCTCTCTATCCAGACATACCATGGTTAACTTTCTTAGGTTGACGCGTTATGTATTGATCAGTCGCCGAATCCCACACATGCCCAAATGAAACGCAAAATGCAGCAACTAAATATGATGTCCACAATCTACGGCTGTGCTACTGTTACTATTATCGCACTGACAGGCGAGCATGCAAATGCTGGCTTACCCGGCATCTCCTTTCCGCGTTTAACCCAAGTCAAAGAGAGCATAGAGGGCTACACGTTCTTCACCAGTCCACAAGATATAAGCTTAGAGATTGAGGTCGCACCCTGGTCAAGCCGCGCTTGGACAATGCAGGAGCGACTTCTGTCGAGACGAAGCCTAACTTTCACAAACAGCCGAGTAGCTTTCGACTGTCTCGATGCTACTTGTGATGAAGAACTGGACATCTCAACCCTTCCTAAGGAGCGACCTATAACCCATCCAGGATTAGAAATGATCGGCCAGCTGTACAGGACTGACCTCGTACGCATGAGCCGTCGATCCCTTTCCATGACCGCCCATTAATATCTGTTTATAGGGGTTGGAAGCCGGAGAGTTGAGGCTTAATGAATTTTCCGGTAGCGCAGTTCATCTTTACTGGGGCCTGGTAAGACAATACACAGGTCTTCGCATGACGAAAGAAAGTGACTCTCTCAATGCCTTTCGAGGCATGCTCACCTTCCTACAGAGACGAGTGTTTCCAGCGGGGTTCGTGCATGGCCTTCCCTTACATAGCCATACCTATACCTTAGCCTGGGCACACTCCTGGGATGTTATCCCAAAACGCCGAACACAGTTTCCTAGCTGGAGCTGGACAGGATGGGAGGGAACAGTTGGGTTCTCCGAACAGTACCTAGATGTTGCTACTAGTCAGACTCAAACCATGTGGGATATTGATCTGGAATTGAGCTTCCTGGCTGCTCACGAAAACGAGATTACGGTTGAGGGATGGGTGGTCGATATCGATATTCATACAGAGCCATTCAGTGAGATTTTTATCCCTGGACGGAACGATTCGATTGCGGTTGTCAAGGAAGGAGAGGCATTAAGCAATAACACCCTGTTGACTGGGATATATACCTGCTTGGTTATCCAAAGACATCGCGAAAGAGTGGGCGATCATACAGGGCCAAGGGAGAGGGTCTTTATGCTCGCATTTGAACGAACAGCTCAACAGGCTCGGAGACGGACACTTTTGACTGCAAACCTGTCTGCCTACTGCAGCTTTGATTTAATTAAAAGGGAGAAGCAGGTCATCCGCCTCATCTAACTATATAGTCTGTATACGGCCTGTAAATTGACCTGTTTGAGTTAGTTTTGCCATTTTTATTTGGCGCCCCAATACACTGTGAAGCCCAAATCAAATCGTTCTAGACTAGGACTTTGAATCTTTTGTTCGCCAACTCGAACACACACAATCTACAATACAATCGATGTTTGTTAATAACAAGTTAGGTGGTATCTTTATAAAGGCTAATAATTACAAACACCCCGTAAAAAAGCCTATACGGCTAGTGGCTAGATATCAATAATAGATTTTCACAAAATTCTTACCCCGTTTTGTCTTCCTGATCTGTCTAGTATAGTGGAGCGGCTTATATATTCCCAGAACTCATATATAGCCGTGGAGCTTCCCTGGTTTAAATATATACATTTGAACAGATCTAGGTACAACGAAAACTAAGGGTGATTCTCTAGGCCACATCTCCAGGTTCAGTTTCACACTTCTGCTCGAACAGAATGACCTTAACTAGTGGGAAACAATTCAGATGTCTATAACCGAAAGGGTCTTAACAAAACGAACTCACTCCTCGCGGAATCCCATCTGGGTCCAATTATCCAAAACTTTCTTCTTCAACTCCTCAGGATAAGACTGCTCAAAGTCCGCAGACACCCAATCTCTACCAGTCGTATACTCGGCAGGCAGAAGGGCATCAGAAACAACTTTTCCACCACGAGTCGGAGAGTGAGCGCCATGACCCATATAAGGAATGAGCGGGAAACCGCGAACATCCTCGAAAAAAGTCTCATCAGAACCGGGTCGGCATCTAGTCGAGAAAGCCCACATCACATCCTTTCCGTTGTAAACGTCGATATCGTCACCGCAGAGCACGAGTCGGTGAATGGTATAGCCTGCCTTGGTGTTGAAGATCAAATCACCGATTTGCTTTCTCAGCTCGACCGAGGTAGTCTTTATTTCACGGAGACGGGCTGTGTCGATCCGAAGGGCTACCCAGGTGACTTGGGACTCGAAGGGAGCGAAGGCATCTGTGACGGGGAGGTTATTTTGTTGGCATATTTTGCGAATTTGGGCGGCGGCGAGGGAGCCGATCATTGTATGCTGCAGATGTTAGTATGTTGGTTGTGAGGGAATGGAGTGAGCTTACCGTTTCATCTGTCAGACGACCACAAGAGGACATAGGCAAGATGGGATCATTGCGGTAGGTGATCTTGTTGACCGTATACTTTGGCCAGAGATGAGTGTCACCAGGGAAGACATATCCATGCATTTCGCCGAATGGTCCTTCAGGAGCTTGATCAGTGATCGAGAGGGTACCCTCGAAGACAATTTCCGAAGTTGCAGGAACGAGCAGGTTATGCGTATCACATTTGACGAGCTCGAGGGCAGATCCAGTCATCGCACCGACATATTCAGCCTCGCTGACGCCATCCGGGATGGGCATACTAGAAGCCATTATGGCAGCGGGTGGAACACCGAAGGCCAGAGCCCAAGGGACATCACGACCTTCTTTCTTCCACATCTGGTGAATCTGCCAGATGTGCTGGGGCTCGATGACAAGACCGGCAAGATGGCGCTCATCGGAGACCATGGCACGCGCAATGGACCAATTCGTCCACGATCCATCGGGTGATTGGATGATATGCATACCATACGTCTGGATATACTTCCCACCATCATGCTGGTGGATCATAGGCGCAGGGATCTTCGTCAGATCAATCTGGTCGCCTTCCAGGAAGTTCTCCTTGCAAGGACCCGTCTCTAAGATCTTAGGGGGGATGGGAGCCATGGTGCTAGCGGAGAGCATCTTGTCGAGGATATCGCGCATGGATACAGTAGGTGGGAGAGCAAGATGGTGCGCCAATCGGCCATAGCGGTCTTTGGAGGATTTTCTCAGCGAGGCTGGTGCACCGAGGATACGGAAGAGACCATGCTGGGAGCCAATGATGTTGTTGAAGAGGGGGGCTTTATCGTCTGTCTCGCAGACACGACGGGTGATAGCTGCGGCTTCGAGATTGGCATCGATGGGAGTGTTGATTTCGATCAAGTCATTGTCAGCCTTGAGGGCTTCGACGAAAGAGCGGAAATTAAGATGGGGCTCGGTAGAAACCATAATGTATATATGATTGTATGAGAGAATATGTCTGAACAATGCAAGTCCATCTAGCTCTTCAAAGCATTATATATGATCAGCCGGTTAGCTCGGCTCGAGCGTATGCAAATTTAGATTAGTCTGTTCATGACTACATCTCCGAGATGCAGGTATACAGTTCGGTCCTCGTTCCCAAGGTCCCGAGATTGCGAGCCTCCGAGCCACCGAGAGTGGACTGTTCGACTCCATCGCATTTCGATTGGACAATTCCTTTCGGATCTCGGACCATTAAATATTCAGAACTGTGGATCGGCATCACCGATTACATTTACAGATATAGATGTGGCAGATGCCATCTCAGACTGTTTGGCCAAGCAGAACCCACTATAAAGAGCGTATCATTACTCGCCACCAGGACCCTACCCGATATCACTATGTATTTAACACACTCGGAAACATATTGGAAGCGGCGGCCCGACGGCTGTTCTTTGCTGAACACTATAGGCTTCTACCGGACACCTAGTTAGGATCCCCGGGACGTACAGCCTAGTGCTTGCCAACGCAATCGACCGACTATAGACAGAAGATCGTCACCCTAGTATAGTAGCCTTTGACCTAAGGAAAGGCCATTGGAGACTTGTGGAGAAACTCTTAAGGGCTATCTTGTGGAATTCTTGTAGGTTATGGCCCCGTACTCGTAGAGTCACAAGGTCATCCTCATACCAATGTCCTGAATGCTTGTGTGAAGAACGCCTGACCACCAAATCTAGAACGTCAGATCCCAATGGGCCCGACTAGGCCGGGCCCCACGGGGTGCTTCTAATATGTTCAAAGGTGAATGATAAAGGTAAAACGGAATAGATAGACCCATTTATAGAGGTTCTAACACAGATGATGCAACTAGGGTTGATATACTAACTAAATCAGAAAGAAGTCATGGAAAAAGCACTACATATACGTGATTGCCGACGTTACTCAGATTTAAAAGATTGGTAGATTCAACAGATAGGCAGCCTTCAATATGAAACTCTGGAATAGAACAAATTTCCCTTTTGACCCAAGACTCCGGAAATAGCAAAATATGGTACAGGAAAAAAACCTGACGGTCTTCCTGGAGTGCATCTAGTCGCTGTCATCGCTATCATCCTGCTTGGACTTCCGGCGCTCCTTCTTCTCCTTCTTCTCCTTCTTCTTCTTCTTGCGCTCGGCCTTCTCCTCGGCTGTCTCGCCGTCGCGCTTGCGCTTCTTGTCCTCGACCTCCTCCTTCACGGGCTCGGGGGAGTCAGCCTTGGGGGTCTCGGGCTCGGTCTTAGTCTCGGCAGCGGGGGCAACAGCGGAGGTTCCGGTGATAGGAAGGTTGAAGTCCTTGTACTCGCTCTTCCAGGCAGCGGGAGTGGCGTCGTTGGGGCGGCCGTATTTCTGAGAGCAAAGTCAGTACGCTGTACCAAAGCGAATATAGTTTTTAGCCACTTACATCGAGAGTTCCAGCGGTCTTCATCTTCTTCTTCTCAAGGGCAGTGGGTCCCAATCCCCAGCGGCGGGGGTAGAGGTCACGCTCCATGATGCAACGCTTGACCTTGGCAACAACGCCGTGGTCGCAGGTGGTGAGCTCGACAGTGGACATCTGAGCGATACCAATGGCGATAGCCTCACCCTTGGTGGTCATGAGGACAACCTCCTCGTGGCACTCAATACCGGCCTCTGAAGAGAAAAATTAGTCATGGTCCCAAAAAGACTCAGGGGCAAAGTTCACATACCATAACGGAGAAGACCGGGAATCATGAGCTTAGCACCGTAGCAGACGGCGTTGACAGCGCTGTCCTTGACGACAATACGCTTGTAACCGGTGAGCAGAGTCTCCAGAGGGCTGATGACCTTACGGAGGTAAGACTCGTCGCGGTTGTTGTCGTAGACCCACTGGGCGTCCATGACATCGTGCAGAGTGACCATACCAGGGCCCTCACCCATGGCTCCAGAGCGAACACGGCGAAGTTCCTGCATGTGGGCACCGACACCGAGGAGGAGACCAAGGTGAACACAGAGGGTACGGATGTAGGTACCAGCCTCACAGCTGACCCAGAAGACACCGAGGTGGCGCTCGTTGTCGAACTCGTAGTTCTTGCTCTCGTGAATGGTACGGATACGGAGCTGGCGCTTGACGGCAGAGATCAGAGGGGGACGCTGGAAGAGCGCACCGGTCAAGGTCTCAAGAGCGCGGACGAACTGGGCCTCGCCACCAGGGATCTTGTCGTGGAGACGGATCACACAGACATACTCCTTACCGGCACCCTGCTGGGACTTGACAAGGCGGGTGGCACGGTCAATGCAGACGATCAAACAACCAGTAACCTTGGGATCAAGGGTACCACTGTGACCAGTCTTCTCGGATCTACAGAGGGCACAGTGGTCAGTAAGGGTGTATAACTATTGAGGGGATCTGATAGATTTTGATGTACCTGAGGATCCGCTTCATCCAAGCCACGACTTCATGACTGGAAGGGTTGGACGGCTTGTCAAGGTTGATGACACCGGAGCTGATGTATGACTTCAAGTCACGGCTCAGAGGAGAAGAGCCAGCAGGGATAGGGGTGAAGTGACCGGTCCGAACGAGCACTACAAAAAAGTCAATGTTGGCTGGTCAAACGTGGAGTTTTAAGGACAAGCGTACGCTTCTCATAGTTCTTAAGCAGAAGCGGCCAATCCGATGTATCAACGGAAGGAACGGACGCTTCAGGCTTGATGGCGTAGTCCATCTCCGAGGTCTTGACGACGGCCATTTTGTTGGTTGTCGTTGAAGGATGCGCGGTGAAAACCCCGAAAATTTGTCGAAGGAAATTTTGCGAGTGCGGCAGCTCCAGTGCCCGAAGCGGTTTAGCGCCTGGAGAAGACACCACGTGATTTGGAGTTCTCGACTTTTTTACGCCTCCGATTCCAAGGACTTCGAATTTGGAGACGTTGTGCTAATACAGATCATGTTTGGGAAAATATGCTAATTCATCCAGTCAAAGATGCTTAGAGATGATTAACTACTAGGATTCAAAAATATGTGTTTGTGGACAAATACATGCCCAAAATTGTGTTCTTGTCAATTATCACTAAATGTATCCATGACAACTCCATATAGGCATAATGAACGCCGAAACATCTGCCAGTTGAAAAAGTCGTATCCCCCAGGCACTTCGGCGACATGCGTAGAGCATGTATTGCTCCCGATCTAACCGAGTCTCCGGCCAGTGCCTCTGCCATTCCAAGAATTCGAAGAGGTCCAGCTGGTCCAGGATGATCCTGATGCTGATGCCGACGAGGGTTCCTCAGCTGGCCGTGGTGCGCGCCTCGCCGTTCCATATCCTCGGTATCCGCTGTTGGCGTCGTGTGTGGCGAAGTACCTCTCCACGAAGCGGGGGACAGTGATGAAATTTCTTCCACCTCCGAAAGTTGGGTAGATACGTGTGAGGAAATCATAAGTATGGGCAGCGACAATTCCCGTGGATTCTACCACCGCGCTATGCCATCCGTACGTCACCATGGTGATAAGAAGCATTGCATATGGCAGGAATACCACCGGGATGTCGAAGAACCAGAACCTCGTCTTCGTTCCTCGGTTCGTCTGGGAATAGGTGTAGACGAAAGCCATGATCAAAGCTAATTCCAAGTTAGTGTTTGCCTGAGGAACTAATCGAGTACGGCAAGCTTACGTGACAGGAAGACAGACGTTCCCAGATAACCACCTGCAGTGAGCTTGGGTAAAGTCAGCAAATTTGGAAGAGACGTGTTGGACTACCAGGATGACGTATAAAATAGGATGTGGATGGTATTGGAAAAGAATAGATGATGTATATAGAAATGTAGGGCACCTCCGATACTGACGCGATATGAAATCACGCCAGTGAGCTCGAAAGAAATCCCACCATGCCCACACCTGCACAACACCTGAATTTTGCGAATTATGATGGTGTTGCGCAGATGCAGGGGTGATTTCCCTCGCCTTCAGGAACCGAATTCAGCTAGATTTCGAAGCTGGGCGGGCAGTTATAGCGAGGGATTGGATATGAACGCGAAGGCAAAAGAAGAGAAGTAAAAGAGAAGCAAAAGAAAAAAAAAAGTGCAGACTCTACTGAGTCACTTACCATGATGCTGAAAGCTACAAAGAGGAGATAAATGAAAAACTCTCCAGGGGCCATGCTCCTCTCCGCAGCACTTCCATAGCGGTACACTATTGGTACATTAGCAGTCTGGTCAGACCAAGTCAATGTGATACCGAGGCATCATACTGATATAAAGATCATAGAGGAAAGAGTAGCTCGGTCCGGTTAGTAGAAATGGCGTGACCAGCCGGTAGATGTGCGGGCGCCATGAGAATATCAAGCTCGGCATGAATAGCGCCCAATAGAAGCTGACTAGACCGCCATACATTAAAGCGGATTGAACCAGAGTCAAGGCTGTGAGGGTCCTGCATGACAAGTCAGTAATCAGAGCTTGAGATCGGCGAATGGGACCTGCATACCTAATGACCGGGGGAGCCTGCCAGAAGACATCCATCTTGAGAAAGAATTAGATGCTAGATGGTTAATTGATCGCAGCTTGTTTCATTACAGCCGATCACAAAATAATCAAATTACTGTGTGGTTGAAGAAAGAAAGAGAAAGACAGGTGGAAAGAAAAAGGTGTGCAAATCTAGCTTCGGTAGAGTTTCTCCGAGGTCCGGTGCTTACGTACTATATACTGTATTGGGCGGATCCAGTGGATTGTTCTATCTACTTCGCCTCCCCTACCTATGGAGGTAGCTGTTATTATTATTATTTGTCACTAATTTCTCTGAGAGATATCACTCGAATTTTCTATCGTAAATGTACAAATATATTGCTTGGGAATGGGTATAGTTGGGTATATTATTCTGGCATCGTGCGCGCAGTACCCCGAACAGCCAACCCTCCATCTGGACCTTCAATCCACATATCCCAAGACCCAGTGTCATTCTTAGGCTTGCCACAGATCACCAGCTCCTGTTCAACAAAAAGAGGCGCTAGATTCTTGTATTCAATATCACTGATGCGGAGATTCAATCTACTCAGCTCTTGCCGAAGCACACTCAGCAGAAGCGTGAGCGTCAACGGACCATGCACCAAAAGATTTGGGTACCCCTCTTGGTTCTGAGTATACCCCTTGTCAAGGTGGATGGAATGGGCATTAAAAGTCAGCGCTGAGAATCGGAATAATAGCGCTTTAGTAGGTATGAGGGCATGGCGGAACGTCGCATTGAAGGGAGCTTCATTGCGCCAGAATCATTAGCACATTTGTCATCATGTTCAATGGTTGGAAGCGTATGCTCACGTTTCAAAATCCTACCAGGCTTTCCAAATTGCGCTTTATCGGCCTCAACTTGGGCGCTGGTTTTTAGACGCATGAAAATGAGGTCTCGGTTCTCAATGACTGACGATTCTCCCACGTCGTCCTCATTCTCTTTCCATATCCGGCCCCAGGTCTGATCGGCAGTTTCTTGTTCAGGGACATTGCCAATCCGTCGCTCAATAGTGACAATCACTTTCTCGTCCCCCTCGCGGCCCTTGACTGTTACATTGCGGATGGATTCTATGCAGACAGCGCGACTACCATTCAGAGGTGGACTGCGCACGGGAAATCTTAAATTTCCACCTGCCCAAAGGCGCCGATTAAATGGTTCGCCCGGTGTGTGTAACGTATCTGTGCAGTCCGGGAGTAGTTGGGACAAAGTCACCTGCGGCGGGAAGTAGACCAGGTGGTGACCGGCCGGGAGCGGGGACGGATTCTGTAATGTCGGTAGAGTCGCATAATCGGAGGAGGTGTGGGATTGTGGAAGAAGATCGCGGAGCGTGAGGTTGAGAAGATGCGATGGTTGGGGGTGTAGGTAGTCGTAAGTCAATGGGAGTTTCCTTGTGGTCAGTTCATGATGCAAGCGCGAGGAGAGCGAGGAGTAATCCCGACAAGCATGACGCCCGCCTCGCAAAGAGATCAGGGGTCGGAATGAATTCGTCTTCATGAGCAAAGACACGGACTGAATTGGACAATTATCAAGTCGCAAGTTCACTTGACGCAATAGACTCATCCCGAGTTTGATTTGTTTGTTTGTCTTTCATTTCCTATCTCGGAACTGCACACAATCCAGCCCACACCGCTCGGAGATCCGATGTCGCATGTCAAAGAAATGACGAGTCACTGGAAGTTCTGATTTGATTCAAATAGCTTCAACCCGTCTAACACGAAAAATACCACTTCATACTCCAATCACAATGGTTGCCTTGAGAGTAGCCTTCCTAGGGCCATTGGGGTCCTTTTCGCATCAGGTACGAACTTTACCCCACATTCTTGGCGAATTAAGTTGATGATTGATCCTTGTTTTAGGCTGCTGCAGAGTCCTTTCGCAAATTATCCGCTGATCTACAGCCTCAAGTCTCATTCCCCGATGCCTTCGCCGCACTCCAAAAGAAAGAAGTCGACTACGCCGTGATTCCATGCGAGAACTCGACCAATGGTTCTGTGGTACAGACATTAGACCTCTTAGCAGACCGGGATGGTTTATATAAAGACGTGAAAGTGTGCGGGGAATATTACCTGACAGTGCACCACTGCCTGATGGTGCACAAGGGCACATTCCCCGGTGGTTGGGCAGACTACGACGGCTCGATAACAAAACTATACACACACTCGCAGGCATGGGGCCAGTGTGAAACTTTCTTGACCAAATACTTCAAGGGCGTCGAGAGACAGGATGTCACGTCCACATCCAAGGCGGCGGAGATTGTCTCTAAGGAGACGACGGAACGAGGCGCTGCCATTGCCAATCGCTTCGCGGCAGAACAACACGGGACGGACATCCTCGTGGAAAACATCGAGGACCGAGCAGATAACACTACCCGTTTCTTGATCTTCAGAAATGTGCTCGATGAGGGAACTGCCCAGTTCAAACTCGAGCAATCAAACCCGCCTACGTCGGAAGGCGAGCCTACCCTTGAAACCACGCACAAGACTTTGATTGCCTTCACGATTGATCATTCTTCTCCCGGTGCATTGGCTAATGCGCTGTTAATCTTCAAGGCTCATGGATTGAATCTGACGAGCATTAACACAAGGCCGAGTCTGAAGAAGCCGTGGCAATATATCTTTTTCGTTGAGTGCGGAAGGACGCCCTCGGATAAGAACAAAGATGCAGTCCACAAGGCTCTCAATGATTTGCGTCAAGTCAGTGAGACATGTAAGGATTTGGGGACCTGGAAAGATCAGCTGAGTGCAAGCAATGCTTGATTCGATTGACTGGTTTCAATTGGAGGCTCATCTTGGTCCTTTTGATTGAGAGCATTGCGTTGATTATTTTGCAAGCGCACTAAAAGCGTCATGTCATACATGTTGAAGACATATTGGTTTACTATACGAATAAATGAGAGAAAAATATACGTACCGTCGATGGCATAGACAAAATGTACACCGCAGGATAAAATAGAGAACTTAATGGACAATAAATAGAGCACCTTCTATATCAACCCTTTCGGGTGCTTTTTTTTTAATAACGAGCAAATAACGAGCGAAGACCAGAAAATGCCATTCAGAGCTGAAATGACAGAACTGGCTGAGCAATGAAAACAATCCAACGCCGTCCGGCTTACGTAGAGTAAGCAGTGCAAGCAGCGGTGGATGACCAAATGTTGCAGCTAACCGCACTCAACCTCTCAAATTGCAATTTAAACCTCATCTTCATCTCAGACACTGAGGTGACCTCAGCGTGCGTATCTTGGAGCTTGGACGACACTGTACTCAAACATTAGAGCCAAACCCGGAGTAATGATATAGTTGTATGTCTCACCTCTGAGCAGCTTCACGGAGCTTGGACCAGGCCTTTTTTTGTTATCCTTTACGGATGCCTTGGTTCCATCGCGGGAGCCGCCTGCATGATCCACGGGGCGAGCCGTCAAAAGACTCGCCGTGGGAGCTTCTGGCCGTTCATCCTCGCTCTCTGCGAGGGGGCAATACCGTCAATCTGCAAACAAGTTAGTATCAATACAAACACGAAAAACGGGAAGGAAACATACCGTCGTAGAACTCGTCATCATCGCTGTGATCGGCAAGCTGTTCAAAGTTGACCTTGTATCGGAGAATGGCACCGATACCACCGAATCCCTTGACGAACTGGTTTCCTTCGCCGGATCGGTCAGACACGAACTCCAGGTTGGCACCGAAATCCTTGTAGGCCTCAGCAAGCCATTCGAGGAAAGAGCCTGATTCGATAACCTCCATATCCAATCCGGTTTCCTTGTCCACGAAGAGGTCCTTGTTGGCTTCCTGGATCTTGTTCGTGTGGACGATAACCTGGGAGCCTGACGCGGTCTTCATAACCCAGCGAGTGATCTCCAAGTTTTCGTGGACGATCAAGATTTCAGCTGCACCAAGCTCCATTGCCTTGAGGGTGTCCTCAATACCGTAGCAGACCTTGCCGCTGTCTTGGCTGATCTCCTGGAAGTACTGGCCAATAAGCTTCTTCTCCTGAACGAACTTGACGTTGCTCAGAGTCTCGCCAGCCAATTCAATGGCCTGGTTGAAACCGTTCTCGCCACCGTAGGAAACATCGACAATCTTGATAACTTTGGACTGCAAACGACCATCGAA